AGTCATACTCTAAGATCTACACCCAAGCTGGGCAGCCAGCCAGGTGCCAGTCACTCCTTAGCAGAAGACTAGAGATGTAAATTTTAGTAAGACTAGAACAGAAGAATGAGAGAGAGGGAGGGAAGAAGAAAGGACACCAGGAGGAGGAAGGGAAAGCAGGAGAATTATTATTATTATAAGTTTTGTCTGATACATTTTTCTTCCTGGTTTTTATTTATATTTTTAATTATTTTTTGTTTGTTTAACATATTTAGTTTGACTATGGACTAGGATTACTGATTTCACTGTTAATATATTTGTCCCTTATTGAAACTTCAAGCTTCTGTTAAGTAGGGGCAGTTTCTCCATTACCTTTGTAATTATTAAAAAATCCAGGCACCAACGGGATTATGGTGATGGCACATGGGTGACTTGGTGATGGGAAACCTGCGGGGATTACAATTGAGATGGAAAAAAAATGTACAAAATGATGTAAAACTAAACTGTTATAAAAAAAAAATCCAGGCACCAAATAATAGTTTTATATAACTATGTGATATTCTTCCAAAAGCATAAATAACTTTGTTCTTTGTTTATAACATGATAAATTGACCACAAGAGAAATTGACTGTAATAACATATAGAGTCAAATAGTTACCATTGATTAACTAATACTTGTGAAGGGAGTATGCTATACATGTTAACATTCCTTCCAGTTCTCGACCCAAATCTTGAAGTTAGATAGTATCCTCATTTTTCAATGAAGAAATGAAGGTTTAAGGGAAAAATATGATTTCACATAGTTCATTTGATTTTAAAAAATTTTTGCATAGAACTGGGTATAAGCCAGAGGTGGGGTGGTAATGGTGACAGGATTCACCAGAGACAGAGTGGGGAACAGAACAGGCAGATTTATTGAAATACACTGTTGAGGGGAGCAACAGCAAAACAGGAAAGCTCTGCTGCACCATATGTGGGTCAGCTTTTTGGCCAGGGCTGGTGATTGAACTTAGGCAGTAGCAATGACAGAGCTGAGACTTAACCTGGGAGGCCACCTGGGAGGCCCATTTTCATAGAGCTCATGAATGGCAAAACTGGAATTTAAATCTAGGTCTGTTTAATTTCAGTCCCCATATTTTTCTCAATGTACAAGTTCTTGGTCTTATTCTAGTTTATCACTGTGGATGTGAGTAAAACAATTGTTTCTTGATTAATTCAGTAAAATTTACAAGATATATATTTAGATATGCTGAAAAATAATAGCATCAAACATTTCTGGATTCACCACATGCAGCTGAAGGCAAGAGGGATGAAAGAAAATGTACTAAATATTATTAAATAACCTTCCTAGTTTTTCTCCCTACCAGAATATTGGCAGCTTTGCTTACATTTTACTCCCTACATGGACATAATATGGAGAACATGATGAACTCAAGAGAGAAAAAACAAACACAAAGATACTGACTTCAGGCCTTACCCAGTCAAACAGCCTAGCCAGATAACCCTTGGGGAGGCTCAGAGTTGGCAAGCTTCACACAAACAGTTTCCAATAAATTTATTTAGAGACCCACTTTTGGTGAGCAGCAACTAAAGATCATAAGACATCTGATGAGGCCCTCTAACTACTTACAGCTAAACAAACAGAAAAAAACAATTTGAATGAAATGGAGATGAACAGGAAGGCATGTCATTAATTACATCCTTAAAGAGATGAGATAGTATTGTAGCCATGAACAAATATAGGCAGTTATAAAAAATCGTCAGGAAACAGTAAATACTGGGCCTCCCTAGTGGTAACAGGAATTAAATTCAATCCCCGGCCAGGGAGCTGGCCCACATGGCACAGCAGACCTCTCGTCTCCTCTGCTGCTCCTCTCAGCAGTGTATTTCTGTCAGTCTGCATGTTCTGCTTCCCACTCTGTCTCTCTGGTGAGTCCTCTCACCCCTTCCCCACCCCATACCTCTAGCCTACATCCCAGTTTTTGAATGCATAAATTAAACAAATAATAATTTAAAAAATAATGATAAATACCTCTTGGAAGGAAAATCAAGATAGGAAAAAAATTAAAAACTCAATGGAAATGTTGATAATGTTGAAATAGTTCAGAAACTAGAGCAAATATGGAAAGAGATGGAAGAGGAAAATAGAGTATCAATCCAGAAGGTCCTCTAGCCTTATAATAGGATTTCCAGAAAGAACACAAAAATATTGGGGGAGAAATAATCACCAAAGAAATAATTAAAATCTCTCAGAACTTAAAAGCTATGCACTTCAGATTAAAAGAGCCCAACAAGTAGCCTGTGAAAATTTAGAACACTAGGAACAAAAAGATGATTGTAAAAACTTCCAGAAAGAGTGGGAAAATAGACACATAACACATTATGTGAATTAGAATGGCATCAGACTTTTTTTTAAGATATATTTATTTATGCGCACAAGAGCTGGAGTGTAGACCAGAGATGCAGGGGGTGGATTCACAAGGGATAGAGTGGGGAGCAGAACAGGCAGATCTAGTGAAATATACTGCTGAGGGGAGCAATGGATGAGAGAGGAGAGGTCTCACGGGGTGCCACGGGGTCAGCTTCCTGACCAGGGATTGGACTAATACTACAGTGGCTGCCAATAGCTTCATAGTGATGAGACTTAACCCTTTCTGTCACCAGGGAGGGCCCTGGGATCAGATTTTTAAAGTGTAACAGTGGAAAATTAGAAGGCGATGAAATAATGTGTTAAATTCTAAGAAAATATTTTAACCTTGAATTCTCTACCCAGGCAAACATCAACAGTGTGAGAGAATAATAACATTTAAAAACATGCAAAGCTTTAATAAATACACCTATGCAGACTTTCTCAGAAAGCTATTGGAGGAAGAACACTATGCACAAATAAAGGAATAAATCCATAAAGAGGACTTGGGATCCAGGACACTCAGGAAAGGGGCAAAGTGGGCCCCTTAAGATGAGATGAGGGGAGATTTGGAAGATAGTCGTACAACAGGGAGAGATTGGAGCATATCACAAAGCTTTTAAAAAGATATGTCTAGGAAGATGGAATAGATATGACATGATTGAAAGCCTGGAGAGGGGAATTCAGATAACAGACAAGATGGTTTGGGGATGTCTTACTAATAGCAGACTAAACAAAATAGTTGTTGTCAGGCCTCCCTGGTGGCCTAGGGGTTAAGTCTCAGTGCTATCACTTCTATGCCCTGAGTTTGAGCCCAGGACAGAGATTTAACCCACACATGGTATAGCAGACCTCTCTAGTCTTTGCACACTATGCCCCTTAGCAGTGTGTTTCAGTAAATCTGCCTCTTCTGCTCCCCACTCTGTCCCTGGTGAATGCTCTCATCCCCTGTATCTCTGGCCTACACCCCATTATTCTACACAAAAAATTGCTGTTGTCATAGTAGTTCTAAGGAAAACATACATTTATGAGAAATGAAAAGTAGCCATAGTAAACTACATGACTTAGATGGAAATAGCATTTCAAAATACTAATAAGATAAACACTAGATTATTTTATTGCATCTATTGTAAAGATATGTGTCTATATAGTAGAAAAGTGGGAAATGGTTATATTTGTAACCTTTTCCAGTGTGATAAATCAACAGAAAATACAAAAAACTTAAGAAGTATCAGGTTACTTGGAGATTAGAAAATGAATGTCCAATTAAGCTGCTAAAAAAATGAATAGTGGGCCCTCCCTGGTGGCGCAGCGGGTTAAAGCACAGCACAAAGAAGCTTAAGCTACTTCCGCATGAGTTCAATCCCTACCTGCCCTGGAGATCCACATGGCGCTGCAGACCTCTCCTGACCTCCCCGCTGCTCCCCTCAGCAGTGTACTTCATTGATCTGCCTGTTCTGCTCCCCACTCTGTCTCTGGTGAATCCTCTCACCCTCTGCATCTCTGGCCTGTACCCCAGTTCTGTACGAATAAATAAATAAATCTTAAAAAAAAATGAATAGTAGCTGTCCCTGGGGTTTAGGATTAGGGTGGGAGAAATTTTCTTAATCTTGAAGAATTGTTTACCATCTTAATCTGTATACATCTTTTACTTTGATTAAGAGGAAAGTTCAGTAAAATGAAATTTAAGAAATAATATGTAGGAAGATCTGGGGTCCTAGGGGAGTATGCTAGAGTTGAGGCAACAAAGAGGGGCAAGAGCTGTATTATGTTAGCTGTGTTGAAAGCCAGTTGCTAAAATGTTTATAGATTTTTTTCACTAAGAATGTAAACCATGAAAGCTGTTGAGCATGGGAGGGACAGGTTCGTTCTTGTGCTTGGAGAAGATAATTCAGTGCATCTGGGCTAAAGGGACCCTAGAGATTACCCAGTGAGTCACACTTAATCCCAGTACAGACATGGAGACTGGTGTGTGATGGGGGTAAACTTGAATCCCCAGCCAGTATGATTATGACCCTTCTAAATTTTAACCAATCCTCCTCTCCCTCAGCAATTGATACCAACACTCTGAAGGGACTTGGTGAGCAGGTTTGCGCTCTCTCTATTCCCCAGTCCTGCCTCCTTTTGTTCCGTCTACTTCCCAATTAACACCTGGCCCCCATCAGGCTCTTTGGCTGTTGCTGCATCTCACTAGTAAGATCTGGACTTGTTCAATAGGTAATAACCTATCAAAGAAATTCAAAGCTCAGTAGGATCAGATTTTAATATTTAATATTTACTGAGACTTTACTCTATGCCAACTGTGCTTAGTATTTAATAGACAGTATCTCAAAATTCTCTTAGCCACCTGGGAGGTGAGTGCTTTAGCCCTATTTAGGAACTAGGAAAATGAAGCTCAAAGAACCAAAGAAAGCTGCCCACAGTCACATAGCTAATCAGTAATCGGGTTGAGATTTTAAACAGTCTGCTTCTGAGCCCACACTCCAAACCACTCTATTTCCTTGCTGCTTGAAATTAAAGCATAGGTGGTTTGACCACAAGGCAGGGGCCTCTGGAAACACTAGAGAAACCCATGACCCAGACCTGGGACTGATTCCTTCTCCCACTCCCTCAGGCTTACCTGCGAGCCATCGACGTGAAGATCCTGCAGCAGCTGGTGACCTTGAATGAGGGCATCGAAGCAGTTCGCTGGCTATTGGAAGAGCGGGGGACGTTGACCAGCCACTGCAGCAGCCTCACCAGCAGCCAATATAGCCTGACAGGCGGGAGCCCAGCCCGCTCGAGGCGAGGCAGCTGGGATAGCCTGCCAGACACTAGCTCCACTGACCGGCTGGACAGTGTCTCCATCGGCAGCTTCCTGGACACAGTGACCCCCAGCGAGCTGGATGAACAGGGCCCTCCCGGGGCTCCCCGTCCTGAAATGGACTGGGCAAAGGTTATTCCTGGTGGGGAGAGGGCCAGGACTGAAGTGGACCTGACAGCCACCAAACTAGGGAACTTGAGGGCTGCATGGACGCTTCCAGGGGAGGGGTTCCCAGGTCCACCTCTTGAGCCAGCAGAGGATGAGAGTGCCAAGCTGAGCTTTGAGGCCCACTGGTACTGGGGGCAGTGTCAGGATGATGTGACCTTCCTGTAACAACTTGTCCACCCTTTTTGTTGTACTCCTGTGGTATTCCTAGGCCCCGAATTCCCTTGAAATTTATCCTCCTTCAATTTGGGAGTAGGAAGAGACTGCATTGAACTGTTGCCATGGAAACCTGACTCATCATTCTTCTGGTGCCTAGGGAGGCTCTGCCTTTATTCCCTCAGGACACTTTAGCCTTAGAGCTATTTCTATAGCTATGTGGACTCTCGGGTTTTGACGCATGGCTCCTGGTATGACGATATCTCATGCCCTATTCCTCTCTTCCCCCAACCAGATAAGGATTTGTGACCTCTGGGAGATCTCTGTTGAAGAGATGGATATGTAATTATCTCACCCAACATCTAGAAACCTTAACTCCCTTCTTGGTCAAAATGGAGATTGTGAAGAGACATGGATTGACCCTCCCAGAAGCCTTAGGGTTGGTAGAACTACCCCTACCTGTCTGGTGCATGGTGTCATTTTCTACTGGGATGATTAACCTTTCTTCTCTACCAGTGCTTTACTATAGGGTGGCTGAACCCCTGCTGCTAATTTAGACCATACCTTTTGTTCTCTACATCATTACTTTTTGTATGTATGGGGGAGCATATCACCCCTCCTGACAGGGAACGTTTCTCATGTCAGAGGTTTGCACTTCTTTTATGAAGATTCTTTTTTTTTAAACTGGGTGTTCTCATTTTACCCTAGGGGGTCTCCCTCTGTGGCCACATCTTTGGTAGCAGCAGAGTCCTGTATCTGTACTTTTAGGGAGAGAAATTAGCAGGGCCTCTACCTGCTGCTCTCATGAATCTGTTGACTACCCTGTCACAGTCCGCTGGCTTTCCCTGTCCCTATTCTTGTATTCTGACTCCAAATCTGTCTGCCAAGAGGTTCAACTTTTGAGTCTCCACACCTTCTCAGTTTACCCTTTGGGCCTCAGGCCTTTATAGGCAGATGATCCCCCAGTCTTCCCTCCCATTGCTGATGGGAGCCAGAGGGAGAAGCTTGAGGTTTCTAAACTCTGGGGATGTGCTTGAATCTGAGAAGTGAAGAGGTAGGGAGAAGCATCTCCTTAGACCCTGTACTACCCTCCCCCACCCTGCCCGAGACATTCCACCATTTGGTCACAAGGACGCCTGCTGGAGGCTGGAATACAAGGAATCTCCTTGTCTGAGATATAATGTGTTTGTGTGTATGTGTGTGTGGGGGGTGTGAGTGGCAGGGACAGAAGCTCTTTGGTCAGAGGGCTCATGTCCCACGAAGGGGGAGAGGTCTGAGGGAAAGGCTTCTTTCCCTCTTCACCTAGAGTAAGCCCTGGAGTTCTGGGATCTGAGAGGGCGCAGAAGACTGGCTCTGGGCCTGGGTGAATTACACCAAAGTAGGAATTCAGAGACAGTTGCCAATGGGATCTCTGTAAGAGGAGAGAGGTGGGAGGAAAAAGGGTTGTGGCTACTGTCAGAGAATGAATTCATGGAGATTAACCCTTTGAACTCTAGTTACATGTTAGTCCCTGTCTTTCCCGGCCCTTCAACTAGATTATTGGAAAGGAAAGGGAGAGAAAAGAAAATCAGATTAATTTGCTAGGCCCCCCTGAATTGGGGGTAAAAGGGACCTTCTCTAAATCCTATACTAATTCCTGCTTTTCATTCTGTGCTGGGGAAGGAATTCTGCAACTTTCATCTAAATCCTTTTTGGGCAATACATTCAATATTAGATTTTTAAGATCCTCACTTCTATCTCCTCAAAGAGATTGAAATCCAAGTTCTCTTGTCACCACACCTAGAGTTGGGCCTCCCAACTAGAATTCCCCTTAGGTTGGGAATTCTATGGGAATTCTAATACCCTTTTCTAACCCCTACTCTGTTGCCATTTTGTAGGGTGCCCTTGGGTAATCTACCTTTCCTTGGTGCCTTGTGTTCCTTTTTGAAGTTGATTTGTTTTTTTAGTGTACCAACTTCTGAGTTGAGGTTGCCTGCCCTCTTATGGCCAATGTGCATCATTGCTAGGGGTAGCTGAGTAGAACCTACAAGCTCAAACACAGCCTTACTGAAGGTCAACTCCTCATGGTGCAGCCTGGCTAGAGAGCTGGGCCTAGAGAGAGCAGAGACTTGCCCAGTGTCATTCATTTTAAGTCCATATCAGTACAGATTAGAACTCAGATCCCCTGCCTGCCTGCCCATAGTTTCATCACTTGGCCAGACTTCCCACACAACATCCACTCAATACAATCCAAACCCAAAAGGGCTAAAAGTAGCTGCTTCTTGTTTTAATGTTCAGGCTCTCAACCCACCCTAAAAAGGCAGTTCAGTGTTTAGAAAAAGAACCTTGAATCTGGATTGGGTAAAGGGTGTACTAATCCCAATCTCAGATATAAGGATCATCAATCCTGGACCCGCTTTTTTTCTGGAAAGGGAGGGTGAATATGTCCAGACATTATAAGGACAGAAGTCAGCATTTCAGACCTGGAGGTTAAGAGCTGGGTGGGAGTGGAAGGCTTTGAGATTAGGAGAGCCCGTGGAATGGGGAGCTCCACAGGACAGGGATTATAGTTAATTGGATAAGCATATGAGTCTGTTGAGAGACTCAACAGACTGTTTTTACTACCAGAGAAGCCCAGGAAAATACAAATCCTTGTTCCATCCAGTCCGACCTTTCTGGGCTATAGGAAGGGACTTTTGGGGAACTCAAAGAAGGAGAAGGAAAGAAAAGGGAGAGATACAGAGAGACGAGAAAGGAAGAGACAGGGGGGGGCATACTGTCCTCCAAGTGAGTGGAGGGCTTTTGTTAGGGCACAAAGTAAAAGGGGAGAGACTGCTCCTGACAGCTGCAGAAACAGCCTGGGAGGAGAAGGGGTAGTGCTGCTGCCGGCCGGGATGGATCCAGTCAGGAGACATGAGACCAGTGTGTGGGTATGTGAAGGGCCTGCGTTTAGGGTGGTGGCCGTGAGTCTGAGCACTGGGCTGACTTGAAACTCAGGGGCAGCTTAGGTGAGAAAAGCTCAGGGTGTGTTGTCGACATGAGCTTGCCGTGTGTATGACATCAGCCACACAGTGATACTTGCTGAATGAATGTATGTAAGCCCACAAGTAGAGGTGATTTATTTTTAAAAATTAGGTGATTACGTCATAATAGGTAAATTAAAACATTCTAATTCTTAGCATCCCTACATAAACACTGCGTTATTAATGATGTATCGTTGCTTAAATATTTACACAAGGTCAGACAGGTAATAACGATATACTATGAACCCAAGTCAGTCCAATTGCAGAGACTTCCAGGAAGTCTTCTGTGATTCCTACTCCCCAGCCTCACACATCTAAGTATTTTAGAACACATTCGTGCTGTCTGACCAGTAGCAGGGCCAGTGTGCTAGTATCCTATGACCACTGTAAGGAATTTCCACAAGTGTAATGCATAGCAGATTTATCTACCACTCTGGAGATCACAAATCTGAAATCAAAATCCAGTTAAAATCAAGGTATTTCCTTCTGGAGATTCTAGGGGAGAATCCATTTCTCTGCCTTTTCTAGTGTCCAGAGACTGCTTGCATTCCTTGTCTCATGGCTTCTTGCCTCCATCTTCAGAGCCAGCAATAAAATACCTGCTCTCTGATCTCTGCTTCCATCCTTGTATCTTCTCTCTGCAGTTTCCACTTATGGTTATGGGTGACTGCATGTCCTTGTTATTGTATTGGGCCCTTAGGATAATCCAGGATCATCATTCCAAACCAAGATCTTTAATTTAACCATAGTTTCTAAGCCCATTTTGCCATATAAAATAAAATAAATACAGTTTCTGGAGATTAGGTGGTAGACATAAGGATGGGGTTGTGATTATTCTGCCTATCATGGGCAGATAGAAAGGGTGGGCAGGAGGACCTATTCAGGCCCAGATGAACTTTGTATAGCCTCTCTCTGCCTACTTGGGAGAGGGAGTTAGCCAGGTCCATTCCCCCATGTCTGGAGAAATTCTCAGATATGGGGGAAATTCTCAATTTGAGGAACTTTGCAGGGCTGAGGCTTCCTGGTAAACATGGTAGAGGGTTCAGCAGGCTCAGTCTTGATTCCTTAAATTCTATTTTCACTATCAGAGAAGCCCAGGAAAACACAAATCCTTGGAGGGTCCAGTCTCTCCTACCTTGCTTCTGGATTGGCTGCTTGAAGTTTAGCTTTCTTTCCAGAACCATTCTGTGTTCGTTAAGGCTGAAGGTAATTCCCAGCAAGCTAGCCTGGGCTCTTATTGAAAAAGGGTAGGTTAATTTGACTCCTTTTTAAATTATTATTTCTAATTCTTTAATAGTTAAATCGTGCTCTTCAGTGCATGGTGAACTCATCATTCATTAATAGTAGGCCTCTTTCTTATTTTGTTTTCCCTTTTTGATCACTGACCCCTATTCCCTGACCTCGGCATACACAGTAATATGTTTAGTATGTATTTGGATATGTATGTATTCTTTTAAAATATATATATATACACACACATTATGTGTTTTAAGATATATAGATGTATACTTTTACAATAAGCTTACTTATGTAATGAATTGCTCCATATTTCAGTAATTTAGCCTGATAAAAATTTATTTTTCACTTACATAGGAGTACAGGTGTTCCTGGTTGACAGCTCTCCTCCGTTGCCCACTTCAGATCCCAGACACCATCCATTTCAGGCGATGATAGCTTGAGCCTGCATCATAGAGTTCCCCATCAACTTTTCACCAAATTGTCTTAGTATCTACTAGTGATTATTTTATAACTGTTTTACTAGCAGTTACAAAATGATGATTTTCTAATGTTGTCATTCTTTTTTAGTTCTAATTCTATAAAGAAAACCATTTCACATCCTCTAGATCTTTGCTTGCCCTGAAATAAAATTCATACCAGAAAGGCAAAGTAAATGCTTAAATCCCTTCTCCTGCTTATCCCTTTCAAAGCAGTAAGTTGATGCTGTAATAATGTGGTATTCACTGATTTTATTTTGTTTTCCTTTTAAAATATTGTTGTGACTGTAATTGTTATATTTTTAATGTCTTTAATTGCTTGTATTTTTTGTTTTATATAAAATTTCAAGCACATACAGAAATAGAATAATATATGATGAATTCCTTTGCACCCATAACCCAGTTTCAATAACTATTGATTCATGGCCAATCTTGATTTATTTATTCCCTTCTTAACCAAAATAATTTTGAAGTAAAACTAAATATAATACTAATTAACCTGTAAATATTTTTGTATGTATATCTAAAGGATAAGTATTTTACTATCATTATTCCACCTAAAATTAACAATTCTTCAACATAATAAAATAGTGTGCAAAAATATATATAGTTTCAATTTTCTGACGAACTTGTTTGGAATTTTAGAAATTTCTGCTTAAAATTTTTTTTTCATTTGAAGTACCATATGTTGCTCTGTGCATTTTCTAACTTAGTCTTAATTTCTAAAATGAATTTTTCTTTTATTGCTAATACTTTCCTGAGACCTGTCACTTCATTTCTGGGTTTTCTAATTCTGATTTATCTTGTTCTGTCATGTCTCATATAACTTTCTTAGCATCTTTTTTGCTTGTTTTGAAATAATACGTTGCAGTTTTAATCTGTTTTGTGGCACATCTTTCTGATATGCGTTCATTGTAGTAATGTTATTCTTATGGTTCTTTTACAATAACTTTATATGACCTTGATTCTTTTTAATTACTCATTTTCTGTGAAATTAGTTTTTCTAACCTTGAAGGATGGGATGAGGTTCAGAAAATCTCTTAAAATGTGACAGAGCTCCCTCTTCTGTTATTTTATCTGGCTTGCTTTCTGGGATTTTCTAGCTGTTTCTCTCCTCTGATATCCATATCTCTTTCTTTCCTCTCTGTTGTTCCTATCCTAAAACATTTTAATTCTACTCCTAGAAATTTCCCAGAAAAGTGGGAGGAGTCACTCTTTGTAAATTCAAGACTTATAAACCAATGCTAATCAAGATTGTGTAATACTGGTTAAACTCATCAGTGGAACAGAATAGAGATCCCACAAATATACTTGCACAAACATGCCTAGTTGATTTTTGACAAACATGCAAAAGCAAGGCAAGCAGAGAAATTTTGCCTTTTCAATAAATGGTTGTTGAAATAATTTCCTCACCCAAGATGGAGCTGTTCCTCCCAAGGATGTCATATCAGTAAACTAAAAACTAGATATATTCCACTTGAAATGCAGTATGTTAATTTGGTCAGTCCCCAAATGCCAGAAAAACTGGGCTTTATACTTATTTCCTTGTTTTTTCTCACTCTATACAAGGCTGACTATGTAGCCCATCAATCAAATATTTTCTGTTTTTCTCTTCCTTGCTGTTTGTACTATGAAAGTCTCCTGCCTCTGCAGTTTGCAGTATTCTGAGTGGAGACTGGTCTGCTCTGTGAAGTTTTACATGTTTGTTTCTATCACCTAATTTGTCGTCTTTAATCACTTTTTCACATGGTGCTGGAACAACTGAATATTCAAGGACAAAAAAATGCATCTACTTAAATGTTACATATTATATACAAGTTAGCACAAAATGGATTTCAGATTTGAATGTAAAACAAATGATAAAATGTTTAGGAAAAACTTAGGAGAATATTTTTAGTATCAGGAGTTAGGCAAAGTGTCCTGACACTTGACATAAGAATCATGATCCATGAAGAGAAAAAAATTGATAAAGCTGTATTTGTCAAAATTAAAAATGCATTTTCTGCAAGACAGTTAATAGGATGAAAAGACAAGCTATAGGAGAATGTTTGCAAACTGCATATATGATACAGGAATAACAAGTGCTGTCATGAATGTGGAGAAAAGGGAAACTCATGCACAATTGTTGGATATTCAGATTGGTACAGACATGGAGGTTCTCTAAAAACCGAACTGTTACATGATCCATCAATCCACTCTGGGTATTTATCAGAAGAAAACAAAAACATGAACTCAAAAATATTTTTGCACCCCCATATTCAGTGCAGCATTATTTTGTAATAGCCAATGTATGGCAATAACCTGAATACATGCTGATGGATGAATGTAGTGTATATCTGTAATGAAATGATTGCAGCCATAAAATGTTTCCTACTGTTTGTTACAAATGAACCTTGAGGACATTCTGCTAAGTGAAAGCAGCAGAAAAAGACAAATATGGTCATATATATGGAATCTAATAAAACCCTACAAACCCAAGCTCATAGATACAGAGAACAGATTGGTAGATTTATCATTATAAATAAGCCATGGGTCTATATTGTACAGCATAGTGACTATAGGATATTGCATATTTGCATAATACTGTTTTGAAGTTGCTTAGAGAATGGGTCTTAAAAGTTTTCATCATAAGTGGTAAAATTTTTATAACTATGGTAATGGATGCTAATTAGACTTATGTGGTGATCATTTCTTAATATATATATCAAATCATGCTGCATACCTGAAACTAATATGTCAGTTATACCTCAATTACAGAAAACAAAAACAACCCAATTAGGAAATGGGCAAAAGATATGAAGAGACATTTCACTGAAGGGGTTTAATGTCACCAGCAACTAGGGAAATGCAAATATAAAATCAACTACCAGAATAGCTAAAAACACTAACAACACCAAATTTGTGAATTTGGAGAAACTGGATCGCTCAGGTAATGCTAGTGGGAATGTAAAATGGTACAGTCATTCTGGAAAATAATTTTGCCAGTTAAAAAAAAAAATTAAGTTGATACAACTTAGCAATGACACTCCTGGAATTTTATTCCAAAGAAATAAAGATTAGTGTTCACATAAAAATAGCTGCACATAAATGCCTATGCCAACCTTGGAAATAATGCCTATGATCTTCAACATGTGGATAACTGAGGTACATCTGTACCATAGACTACTCCTCAGCACTGAAAACAAAGTGATGAACATTCAACAATTTAGATAAATCTCCAAGGAATTATGCTGAGTGAAAAAAGCCAATGTAAAAGGTTACATACTAGATAATTCCATTTACATTAACATTTTGAAATGACAAAATTACAGAAAAGAACATATGGCTAGGGAGGGAGGAAAGAAAGGTGGGAGGAGTGAGTGCGGCTATAAAAGGGCAAAAGGAGGGATCCTCCTGAGGTGATGGAAATGTTCTGTATCTTAAGAGTATTTTGTATTAATATTGTTGTCAATATCATGTCTTCTTATTTTGCAAGACATTACCATTAGGGGAAACCTGGGAAAAGGTAAATGGGATCTCTCTGTATTACATTTTACAGTTGCATGTGAATCTCGATTACCTCAAAATTTAAAAATTAACTTAAAAACATCAGTAAGTAAAACATTACAGCACTCCATCTCCTAGACAGTGATAGTTATCTTAGGGGCAGGTTTCCAGTGAAGGTAGGGAGTATCTGTGCAGGCTCTGTAAATACTGTAAATTACTGAGATTTGTAATTTTCCAGTTGGGGAAAAACCAGAGTTTGCCACAGGAAGCATTTCTACTAAATTGCCAAAAGGTTTTCAGAAGACAGAGCTAAATTTTCAGGATTACAAAACCGAGTATTTCCTCCTCATTTTTAATAAATGTTAGTATGTGTATCCATTTTTACCGTGTACCTAACCCTAGGTCTCCAAAAGAACTTACAAACGCTTCAGGACCTTCACATCAGGCTTTGTCCCTCCTTACCATAGTATGGTGGCTAAGAACAAAAGCCCGGGAGCCAGAATTGTCTAAATTAAAATCTTGGCTATTCTCACCTTGTGCCATTCGACCTTACTAGCCTCTGAACCCATTTCTTCACCTATAAAACGGGGACAATAAACCTACTTCATAGTTGAGCATTAAATGAATGTTTGTATCTAAGCTTAGAGGTGTTTGGTAGTAAATGCTTTGGATCTATCTACCCTTACTATTATTCTACGTGCACCTGACATTGTTGAGCACTTCAGATATTACTTCTCAGAATAACATTGTAGGGGTGGAACTAATACAATGCACATTTTCAAGAGGAAGAAACCCAAGTTTTAAGACTGAGTCTCTGGGACCAGGCCTGACTCCAAAACCACACTTCCACCAACACAGATTTGCACAGGCGAGCACGGCAGTTTGCACAGAAAACGGGCCCCTTTGGGGCTTTCACTGCTCACGTCACCCGCGCGGTAGGAAATCCCCAGACAGGTGACCGCCCACCCATGCTCAAGGGCGGTGCAGCCCGGGTCTGGGGCCCGGCGACGGGTAGGTGCAGACACATGCCGCCTTTCATAATCCCCACTCTTCCTCAGGCTGGTGGCAACCCCTCCGCCCCGATCGGTGCGAGTCGTCATTGGAGAGGCCGCTCACCCACCTAGGTCAAACGCCCAGGAAGCGGAGCCAGGATCCCGCCCGCAGGCCCCAAATCCCGCCGGGGCCGCTCGCCCCGCCCACCCGGTCCAACCGCCCCCGCGGCTGTTGGCCGGGCCCTTCCTCCTAAGTCCCACCTCCCAGTGGGTCCGTCAGCCACTCCAGCTCCGGATGGCCAGCCCCGCCTGGGCCGCGGCACTGACCTGCCCACTGCCTGGGGTCGCGAGCGCCGAACGTATCGAACGCAGCCAATGGGCGGCGCGGCGGCCGCTCGGCGGGAGGTTCGATTGACCCGGCCTGGCGGGTCCCGGGAGTCCTGGCGGCTGTTAACGCGCGCTTTGGTTAGAGGAAGCGTAGAGTGGGCGGCTGTGTCGGGGCTCTTTGCTGCCGGCCTTTCCCAGCCCGGTCCGGGATCGCTTCCCCAAGCCCGGGTCTCTAACTCGCCTTGCGTGGACCCATGCCCGACGGCTCGCCGTCTCTGTCTGGCATCGCACTCCAAACTCGGGAAATCCCTGTTTTCCGGACTCCGGCGCCGCGCCCGCCCCAGGCCTCCGGGTTTTTTCGCAGCTTTTCTCCTGGCCTGTGATCAGCCCCCACTCCCACCCCAGCCCACCCCCAGCAACTCCCCCTTCCCTCATGCCCGTCTGTGACCTTTCTTTTCACTCCCCTCTCCCCAGTCTGACACTCCACCTGTCTTCTCCACCCACCCCAGACCTCGACCCGCCTCCTCTCGGACTCTCCCTTCGCCTTGGCTAGATTGGCAACCGACACACATTTTGGGCCCAGTCCAGCTTCGGGTTCGACCCCCTTCATCCATGCTGCCTTTTTAATTAGTTCACCTCAGCTCACCTCCCAGTCTACTCATTGCCAGGCCTTGCAAGGTTCGGCACACTCAGCTGCTGAGTGCCTTTAACTTTTGGCTCATGGGTACCTGACGTTTCTGCCCCTGGGCCCAGGATGGTAAGTGTCACCTCGGGAAAATGGGTAGCCATATCTGGGTGAATGGGCTCCGGTTGTAGGATCCCTGCAACTGCTTGGTTTCCTTTCTTCCCTCACAGAGGAGGAGCTTAGCTCCTAGCCAGCTAGCCAAGAGAAAACCAGAAAGCAGGTCTTCTGATGACGACGATTGGCATCCTGGGGCAGTGGTGAGTACTCTGTCCACAAAAGGGATTGGGAAGGACGACGATACTGGGTCTTTGGGGGCAGGAAGAAATCCTTACTTGGTTTCCCAGCTTTCTTGGAAAGGACGAACCTCATCACCTTCAGAAGCTTCATTCATTTGTTCAGTAAACTTTCAGTGAGGATTTACTGTGTCAGGGATTGAACAAGATACATAAAATTCTCAAGGTACTCACTAGAAGTTAACCACCTCAGTTTTCCTTGCAGGAAGTGGTATTCCAGTGCAGAAGAGCAGATTGGATTGGGCTTTTGCCTCAGCTCCCAGCCGCCCAAGGACTCCCCAGTATGCAGTTAGCATCCTCCTCTTTTGCTCTCTGTCTCCCTGCCTAAAGTAATGTTATTGAACAGTGGAGAACACCAGGCCTACTCCAAGATCCTGAACTTATTTGGGCCTAGATTGAAAGGCAGTCCCGCTCGTGTTTTTGCTAATGCTAATGTGTTCAACTTTGGACTGAACCCTGGCTCTGCGCCCTATCTGGGAGGCTTACTGGGGCCGGCTGTGGGCAGGACTTATATCAACCAAAATCAGGAGGCCATTGTAACATGCAGTTCAGAGAGAGAACAGTTCACGAACCCACATCTTGGCCCCAAGAACTTGGAAGTGAAAATTAGCCAAGGAAGGTCTAGAAAGCAGTTTTGTACAGGGCAACGTGGGTAAAAGCATGTAGAGAGAAATAGGAAGGGAACCTGGTGTTTGTTTCATGTGTGTCATGCAGTGACATTGAAGCTTCAGATACCTTGGCAAACTGGTTCAAGTGGGTTCTTTCTGAAGATTTGGTAGGGTTCGTTCTATAGTTGTGTAATAAGCATCTCAGTGAAAAGGGGAGGTTCTCTGTTTTTCTGCCCCACCCAATGAGGGGTGGAGCTGAGCAGCCAGGTATAGCTATAAAACACTTAAGAGCTCAGAGACACAGGAGAGGACACGTGGAGAAGGTTCTGCTTTCTTCTGTGCTTTGGAAATGCACAGTGGCCGGGAGAAATGTAGTGACACTTGGAAGAGACACCAGGGTGAGAAACACGTGGGGAGTGTGATAGTGGGAGCTGTTACCTTGATTTGTACTTAGATTTTGCTCATTTTGTTACAATTTGGGCACTTTCACTTCCTTCCGGTGGCTTCTCCTTATATTGGGGCAAGCTTTCAACCTTCAGCAGCCCTGCTTTAGGCCAATTTTGTTTGGGCACTTATTCATGAAGGGATGGGTATCTTTGAGTGTATTTTTGGGGAACTTTTTTTTTTAAAGGTTTACTTATTTATGCATACAGAACTGGGGTACAGGCCAGAGGTGAGAGGATTCACTGCTGAATGCACTCAGTGCCTTACTGATTTAAGAGTAGTCCCAGTGGCCTGGGAGTTGAGGGCCTATGTTCTTGTTCCTCTGGAAAAGGGAAG